ACTTCAATGCGAACAAAGCAACCGAACTGATTTGTCGCCTGACCGACTTTTAGGCCACCATACACCTCCACTCCTCTCCCATTTTCTCGACATTGCAGAAGAAACTCGGGACAGCCAATCTGGACAATATGTTCTCAAACTTGTCTGGGCGAAACTCGCTTGCCGCTACCGACCTCTCGAATAGCTGTAAAAACGTCTCCCTGGCCAATGTCAATTGCGTACCAGTCTACAACAATCCCTCCGTTTCACCTCTGAACTTTTATGCTCATGTATTTTGGTGGTGTGGTCGCCATGTTGGATCGATTATGGCAAAATGCATGTTTTGAGGCAATCTCTTTCCCATAGGTCTTTGCGCTTTACGTAACGCGCATCTAACTGTGCAGAGTTTGGTTTTGAGGTTGGCTGGTTCCCGCCTCAAGTGTTATGGCGTACCTAGCCACAAGAGGCCGGTAACTAGTAATGAATCCGGCATTCTGATTGGTCCGACACTTTCTCGTTGCTTGTTCTATTTCCCTTGGTTACCTGTCGGCAGCGCTTACGCTCGTGGCCGTTCAGGAGTTTCCTTTTACTTTCGAAAGTTGGGTGAATAAAAAACTGTTTCTTTTGTTATAAATTTTCACAGAAACAGCGAGGAATGTCAGAAACATCTCAAATGTGTAAATCTAAGCAGGCAGTATGTTTGAGCATGGCTTTATTGTAGTATTATAGACATGTTTACGCAGAACGGAACTTGGAATGTTTTCAAATTACGTCACTCAGTCATGTGCCGGAAAACCGACCCAAATGGAACAATATGGCGATTACTAGTTACCTGCGTCCTACCTACCATTCGCAAAGGACGTCGGAAACCAGCGAAGTTTTGAGGTAGTCCAAAACGAGTTTTACGACAAGTTGGCGCTTTGCGACAATACGAGTCAGCAAGTTCCGGACAGAAAACCGATCTGTGGAGACTTGTTGTAGGAGATTTTTTTTTTTTTTTTTTTTTGAGAACAGGCGAAAACTAATGCGCGCGCGGATGTCATCAATAAAATTAAATCGGTGTAGCCATATCTGCACCAAAAACACTATAAATGATAATGTGTTGCACATGCTTGTTGGTTTGTGTTTAGTGCTGCACTTTTGAGCATGGATCAGAAAATTATTAAGGATTATTTGAGTGTTGTTCCTTCCTGAATATTTTTGTGAGTTGGGGTACAAATCTGAACATTTTTTTCTGTCAGCTATTTTTGTATAATATATAAAACAAGAAAATTAACAATTTGAGAACATCAGTGCTTCCTCAGTTTCTTGAAATCAAGGAACAAACAAATCCTGGCTGCAGCCAGGACAACCTGCAAGTACATATAAGCTTTATGTTTTCAGTTAGTCCAATTATAAATTTACCTGTTTGCAGGCAAGAATGCACAAAGATTTATCAAACAGTTATTTCCTTCAAAGTTTGCTGGAAGTACACTTACTATTTCTTTCAATGACTGATTTGCCTTTTTTTTCGGAAACGGCGTATTGAAGAAATTGAACCTGTAGTAACAGCTCATGTACTCGCATAGACATCAGTGACTGTAAAAAATAAAGTTTACTTTAATAGGTGATAGGAAAGATTAAAACATTTTAAAAATGATGCTTTTAATAGAATATTTATTGTAAAAGAAAATATTAATATCAGTAACTTGGCCACAGGCCTTTTTTGTACAAACAATGTAAAAAAAAACACAAAGTACAACACATGGAAATCAGAAATAATAACAATTTGTAATTAATAATGTTTTAATATTATGTTTATGGTGAAATATACAGCAAAGGAGCTTCAATCCTAGTTTGTTGATTACATCTAGGTATTGATGGTGTATTTGCCAGTGTTCTTAAAGTCACACACATTCACTTCATTAATCTTTTGAGCGCCATTGTCAACTTTAGGTACCATCTTACAAAAAAGAATTTGTAGTCTGCTTCTCCCCACATTGATAAAAATTGACAAAACTTTTGATGAAAAACTAAAAGCAATATCTGAAACTGTTCATATGATAACAAATAATGATAACTTTTTATAAAAATTTTTACAAAATGTAAAAATATTTGCACTGGATTTTCAGTGGGAAGAAATATCTGGCACTCAAAGGGTTCATCTGGATTGAACTTGAAGGTATTTGAGATTATTTTACTAAAATTTTACAGAATTTTAAATTTACTAAGATTTACTAAAAATATTAAGATGGATTATTTTGAATCACATGGAAATTATTTGCCATTTCTTTTTTATCTCTTTTCAATATTTTAAGTTTACTACTACCAGTACTCAGAAAACAAAGTAACACTCGTAGAACTTTACTGAAAAATTAACACCTTTACATTTTTAATCCTGCAGGTCAACTGGGACAATGTTAGCTAAGAACCTTAGAGATGAAGCGGAGAAAATGAAGAAATTTGATGCTGAGAATGTAGTGAGATTGTACGGAATTTGTACAGAGATTGGTAAGTGTAATTCAAGCTGATCATAAAGATACAGCGAAATGTGCGCAAGAGCAGTGATGGTATCGTCCAATGCAATGTGATCCAAAAAAATACTATATGGTCATGTGACTAATTTGCATAGTTATTTCCTGATACTTTGTTGTTTGTGCAAGATTGCCACATTAGACATGATATTATTAGATTACACAAACATATAACATTCAACAATAATTCCCTGGTAGTTATAATACTTATTTTCACTGAAGCGGCGAATCAGTGATAATATAAACCAGCGCACATATTGTAAAATACTTTATTTTAGCTGGAAGTAATTTTCGCTGGAAAGACTTTTTTGGCTGTTTTGTATGGAAAAAGATTATGTTCACTAGATTTTATTTTCACTGATTCATTCCTTCAGCGAAAATAGCAAAAATTAATTCCAAGCGAAAATAAAGTATTCTACAGTACCTTTTTTTCCATATTTTTCATTCAACTCATCAAAAATCAGTGATAATAAATTCAATACAAAACACCAAAAAAGTCTTTTTAGTATCAGTTTTAAATAATACCAATGTTATCACTTTGTAATCTGCAGTTCTAATAATAAATATGTAATAATACATTTTAGCTATACCCCATGTATTTGCTCTTTTAATAAAAACACGTCTCTAATTGTAGTGCATATAAACCAAAAATGTCTTTGTAGGTTCTAATCTCCTTCTAAAAATGTCTTTGTAGGTTCTCATCTTCTTCTAAAAATGTCTCTGTAGGTTCTCATCTCCTTGTAAAAATGTCTTTGTAGGTTCTCATCTCCTTGTAAAAAATGTCTTTGTAGGTTCTCATCTCCTTGTAAAAATGTCTTTGTGGGCTCATCTCCTTGTAAAAATGTCTTTGTAGGTTCTCATCTCCTTGTCAAAATGTCTTTGTGGGCTCATCTCCTTGTAAAAATGTCTTTGTGGGCTCATCTCCTTGTAAAAATGTCTTTGTAGGTTCTCATCTCGATCCTTGTAAAAATGTCTTTGTAGGTTCTCATCTCGATCCTTGTAAAAATGTCTTTGTAAGTTCTCATCTCCTTGTAAAAATGTCTTTGTAGGTTCTCATCTCCTTGTAAAAATGTCTTTGTAGGTTCTCATCTCGATCCTTGTAAAAATGTCTTTGTAGGTTCTCATCTCTTTGTAAAAATGTCTTTGTAGGTTTCATCTCCTTGTAAAAATGTCTTTGTAGGTTCTAATCTCCTTGTAAAAATGTCTTTGTAGGTTTCATCTCGATCCTTGTAAAAATGTCTTTGTAGGTTCTCATCTCTTTGTAAAAATGTCTTTGTAGGTTTCATCTCCTTGTAAAAATGTCTTTGTAGGTTCTAATCTCCTTGTAAAAATGTCTTTGTAGGTTTCATCTCGATCCTTGTAAAATTGTTTTTGTATGTTCTCATCTCCTTGTAAAAATGTCTTTGTAGGTTCTCATCTCCTTGTAAAAATGTCTTTGTAGGTTCTCATCTCCTTGTAAAAATGTCTTTGTAGGTTCTCATCTCCTTGTAAAAATGTCTTTGTAGGTTCTCATCTCCTTGTAAAAATGTCTTTGTAGGTTTCATCTCCTTGTAAAAATGTCTTTGTAGGTTTCATCTTCTTGTAAAAATGTCTTTGTAGGTTCTCATCTCCTTGTAAAAATGTCTTTGTAGGTTCTCATCTCCTTGTAAAAATGTCTTTGTAGGTTCTCATCTCCTTGTAAAAATGTCTTTGTAGGTTCTCATCTCCTTGTAAAAATGTCTTTGTAGGTTTCATCTCCTTGTAAAAATGTCTTTGTAGGTTCTCATCTCCTTGTAAAAATGTCTTTGTAGGTTTCATCTCCTTGTAAAAATGTCTTTGTAGGTTTCATCTTCTTGTAAAAATGTCTTTGTAGGTTCTCATCTCCTTGTAAAAATGTCTTTGTGGGCTCACCTCCTTGTAAAATTGTCTTTGTAGGTTCTCATCTCCTTGTAAAAATGTCTTTGTGGGCTCATCTCCTTGTAAAAATGTCTTTGTAGGTTCTCATCTCGATCCTTGTAAAAATGTCTTTGTAGGTTTCATCTCCTTGTAAAAATGTCTTTGTAGGTTCTCATCTCCTTGTAAAAATGTCTTTGTAGGTTTCATCTCCTTGTAAAAATGTCTTTGTAGGTTTCATCTTCTTGTAAAAATGTCTTTGTAGGTTCTCATCTCCTTGTAAAAATGTCTTTGTAGGTTCTCATCTCCTTGTAAAAATGTCTTTGTGGGCTCATCTCCTTGTAAAAATGTCTTTGTAGGTTCTCATCTTCTTGTAAAAATGTCTTTGTAGGTTCTCATCTCCTTGTAAAAATGTCTTTGTGGGCTCATCTCCTTGTAAAAATGTCTTTGTAGGTTCTCATCTCGATCCTTGTAAAAATGTCTTTGTAGGTTTCATCTCCTTGTAAAAATGTCTTTGTAGGTTCTCATCTCCTTGTAAAAATGTCTTTGTAGGTTCTCATCTCCTTGTAAAAATGTCTTTGTGGGCTCCTCTTCTTGTAAAAATGTCTTTGTAGGTTCTCATCTCCTTGTAAAAATGTCTTTGTAGGTTCTCATCTCCTTGTAAAAATGTCTTTGTGGGCTCATCTCCTTGTAAAAATGTCTTTGTAGGTTCTCATCTCCTTGTAAAAATGTCTTTGTAGGCTCATCTCCTTGTAAAAATGTCTTTGTAAATTCTCATCTCCTTGTAAAAATGTCTTTGTAGGTTCACATCTACTTGTTATGGAATATATGTCAGAAAAAGATCTGCGAAGTGTTTTAGATAATCCTTCTAAGTACAATTTAACCTGGAGACGCCGACTGCGCATGGCCCTTGAAGGTGCTTGTGGTATATATCGAATCCACAATGCAAAACCACCAATGTTACATCGGTCAATTTCTAGCAGTAAGTTCCTTGTTAATGAAGATCTACACATCAAAGTAAGTAACTCAATTACTTCAAGCTGATTTATTTTTAGTTTAAAATCTTTGAAATGTGCCCAGAAAGTAGACAAGTTAGGGCAGTTTGAGTCAAATTCCAATTTTGCACTACTGAGTACTTTACTTCACATATATGCAATGCATTATGGGAGATAACCTCTCATTGTATATAATGACAAAATAGTATCACCCTGGAAACTCAGTAAATTATATGTAATTTTTTGAACAGATTTCAAAATGTTAGACTTCATATCAATAATAATATACATAGTTTTTCATCTTGTGTCACTGAGCAAAATTTTGAAATATGAATAAATAATCTCACCATAGAAACAAGTTTAAAAATGACAATTTTGACCATTTTCCATGATATTTTGGATTATTGTTGCTCAAAAAATCATTTTTGACCCCAGTTCTTTCTTTTGTTGTGTTTGCATGGTATGAACTCGTAAAAATGAAACTAATAGAAACGTGACAAATAATCTCCAATTCAGTGCAAACCTTCTTAAGATCAACATTATGATCCCTCTTAAAAAATGAATTTTGACTATAGACATTATACATACCTGGAGGTGCAATTGAAAAATAAAATTTTTCATTCAGATTTCAGACTGTGGATTTTCTCTAACAAAGGCTTCTGCACGTAGACATGAAAGCAGCAGTACAAAGACCACATTAAAATACATTGCACCAGAACATTTACAAGACGTCCATACATCCTATACAGTGAAAAGTGAAGTATATAGGTAAATACACAACTCAGTTATCAGGCATTCCAGCTCTAATAATTAAAAATGTCTGTTTGAAACCAAGGCTCAGTTCAAAGCGCGCATTCAAACATTGGTATTATCAGGGTTTTTTCTTGAAAAAAACTGCAAGAGGGAGCACTGCAATTCAGCGGCGCCACCAAGTAAGGAAGATAGGGTTCCTCCTACCAGGATGTGGAGTTTTTGATAATTCTATGGTAAAATGGAGCCATCTATGACTTCCTTAGGGCCAAAATTACTATCAGACAGGTCACAGTTGAAGACTGTGGCCACATGTGATCCCTGGTCAATCAGAATTTTATGGTTGCAGTGTTCTCCACAAGGGGTTTTAGGTGGGCGGCCCGCCCATCAAGTTGTACGGCCGCCTAGTAACTCTCAACACCCGCCCACCAACGTACATCCAGCTGAAATTATTTGTAAAAAGCTTGCATTGTTCTTCCCAAGCCTAAACAAAAGAGTAGTTGCCCAACCCTTTATTTTGCTATTGTTTCATGAGTCCAAACATA